CCCACCGGCCGCCAGGGGGAGAGAGGAGCCCGCGCTGGGGCTCGCCGCCCTCCTCCCAGGGCTCCGGCCACCCTCCCCCCCGGCCGCCGGGGGGAGAGCGGAGCCCCCGCCGGGGCTCGCCGCTCTCCCCCCGGGGCTCTTTTGCCTGGGGCAGCAAAAAAGCCAGAGCCGGCCCTGCCTAGAGTAGATCATCTATTGCTTCATTATTTTCAGAACTATCCTTCAATAAATGCAATTTCACTAGACAACTTCCATAAAATCCTAAATCACAATACTGATCATATCTCTCAACCTATGGTACCAAGGAGAAGGTTATTGATACAGGAAACTCTTCATATGACTGAATTAATTGAATCCTTCACCTTATTCTTTAATCCTTCACAATTCCGTATAAATACTAAGAGAGGATTTACACACAAATCTGTGTGGGATAAAGGTAACAATTTGAGGGGGAAGTAATAGAGAGTTGCGATTTAGTTTTTTTAGGCGCAGGAGAGGCGTGAACTTCAAAGTCTATAAAGAATTAATTTAAATGCTCTGACTAGATTTCGCTAGGTCAGTCAGGGACATGAAGAGATGTGATCCCAGACTGGCTGGCACTGCTATGTTGAAGGCCGTAGGGCAGATGCAGTTATAATCAGCAAAACTGCACTTTTACTGGTGTAGTTTGTTTTGCTCATGGGTGGGGGGGGTGGGGGAGAAGGAGTGGCGGGACTCAAAGAAACACTTTGCTTGTACACTATACTAATTTTCTTATACTGGGAAAGTGCTCCTAGTGTAGATGTGCCCTAATAAAAAAGTATGGTGACATTAAATAGAGTTAAGGAGAGACTGTTGATCTGAGTAGACAAACAGGAGCCATGAACTCACAAATTCTAATCCCAACTCCAATAGTGACTCCTTGTGGGGTGTCAGGCTCAATTTCTCCACATGTAAAAATGGGGGTAGAGTTACTTGTATGCTTCAGACAGATGTTTGTGAGGAGCACTTATTAAATCACTCACTAAAGCTTTGTTTGGCATTCTACATGAAATAACAGTTTACCAGTCTCAGAGTTCACTATCTATGTAGGCAAAATACTAACAAACGTGGATGAGAACAACATACAAAGCATGCAAACGGGCAGTTATGACAGGTATGGAGCAGACTTGTTTATACATACACACAGTAAAAACAACAGTAATAAAATATTAGAATTAGGCAATGTGAGAATAAGTATTCTGAAAAGTTCAGATCTCTTTATTTAAAATGCTATATTTTGACCAAGTCATCACAATACCAGCCAGTGAACAATTAACATATTTCACAGATTACTATTTTAAAAGAATTAACCTTTGCAATATGACTTATCCCAAAAATACACACACCCAGCTCTTTATTAACAAACTTGGGCTCTGGCCGACCAAGAGATTTATTTTTGGCAAGTGAGAAATCAAATGCCAAAGTCAAGGAGCCCCTACAGGAGAATGCCCTGGCGGCCACTCTTTCCCTTTCTTGAGTGCCTCCACTATGTTCTCTTTTCTCCCCTCGGTCTCTCAGTTGAGATGGACTTTGGTACCAAAGTTCAAGGTCCACCTTCTTTTAGCAGCCAGAAGTGGGGAAGGAATAAAGTACCTACTCATAACTAGGACGACAGACTGACTTCTTCCTACCATTCTCTCAGGAGACAGGAGCAGACTGTGTAAGGAGCAGTTTTTAAAATTAAAAGGCTTGAGATGGGATGGGGAATTCATCTCCACCTCTGGATATTGCTGAACCATTCCTGCCATTATTGATTTGTCCCTGGCTCATTAAGAAGATACTTTGTGATCATTCTATTTTGCCTGTGGAATCCATCAGATTTATGTCAAATAGCACATATTTGCAAAATAAATTTGCCGCAGGAGGGCGTCCCTGCACTCTGCTATAGGGGCCTTGTTTCCTTCTTCACCCTTCAAGTTGCTCCATTCAAACAATGCAGCGAGAAGGAAAGAGAGGACATCAGAGATGCCACCATTGCCTAATACAGGCCTCAACCATGCTCCAAGTCTGAAATTTAGCCTTTGGCCAACAATTAAAAAGATTCCTATAAAGTTCAAATTTGGTGTGTTACTAATGCTTAATGAAGACAATGCTTTTTATAGCCTCAATTTGCTCTAAGAGTCAGTCTAAGCTTTTCTTGATCCTTAGCAACTCAGCAGTAATTGTACAAATCTGTACATCAAATTTTTCTTTTACTGGGTTTACTGTTTCCAGAATACAAAAATCAGACAAAGAGGCTATGAATTTTAACATTATTTCATCTGCAAGTTACCTTTTATTCAAAGTTTTCTGATATTTTATGCTTGATTATGCTGTAAGCTCAAAGCTTTCCGATTTTTTCCTGCAATTCCAGTACCTTTGCATCTAAACTCATTAAGCTGCAGTTACATAGGTTAAATACTGTTTAATCTGGTACATATCTGTTTATATAGTAATTCGGAACTATATGAATGCCAACAACTTTTGTATTAAAGTGACATTTGTTAACCTTGTTTCAAACATTTTTCCTTGGAGGAAAGCAATAATATACTTTAAAGACAGCATAGACTTACCTCTCTCATTCATATCCCAAACATTTTAATTATTTATCAGCCTCTAAAAATTTATAAAATTATTCATGTCTGTCTGCATATTTGGGATTTGAATATCTGGGGAATTATCTGATATATCTTTCTTCAGGGAAAGACGGGAATTGAGTCAATCAGGATTGGATGGATAAGTCAGATCATGATGAAAAAGGAAGCATATATAAATTCACCATACATCTTAGAGGTTTAATTATTTCATTATTTCTGTTTATGATACTTGAGCTAAAATATTTATATAGTGTGTGTGAGCCTAAAATGGGATTTTGGGGCTGCTACAAACTATTTGCATATTTACTACATCCGTTAACCAACCTGACACACATGCTTTAACAAAAAGAATATATGGAGTGAAATTCTGGTGCCACTGAAATCAGGATTTCAATCCTTGTCTCTCTTTTTTTTTTTTTTAAATACTTAACAGCACTTTAGCCCATATCAGTGTTAAAGGATTCCTTAAGGCAAGACCAGTCATAGTGGGTAATTAAAAAAGAGCAAATGTTAAGATCCAACAACCTTGAAAATGTCTCTTGAAAAATATAGTAGTAAAGTTTTTAACAATAAAATTGTAATGAAGTAGCAGGGAAAAGGGAATTTTTTTTTTTTTTTAAATAATTCTTCCTGGAAAATAATGCTATTTTACAGGTAATTTCCATCAAAGATATATACCTTTAGTTTCCTGGAAATCTGATCCACCTACAGTATTTGCATGTTGAAACGAGATGAATATATCACTACAATTTAGAACACACCGAACTGGTGTATTTTAGGCAACATGTTTAGTTGCTAATATATGAAATTTGCGAAGCTTCCACTTTTTATTAATGTGAATATTGGTCAATGTTCCCATGATGATTAGACTGCTTCTTTTGCTTGGAGTCTAGTCACTGAAGTAATTAAAGGAGAAAGCTACTGCAAAGATTGCAACTGCAGCCGCTATTACCACACCTAAAACGACAAAGGAAATATAACTTCCGTGAGTGAAGAGGAGAGTACAATCACCGCAAGTCAGGGTGTGAAGAAAAGGAAAAGTGGGAACAATAAGAGTCATTTTTAACATTGCTGAGTAGAACTACAATGCCTAAATATATCGTTAGTCATATAAATTCATTTTACAAGACAATCTACATAAATTATTTTTCAAAGTGCAAAGTTCTTCAGAGATTCAATTAATCATAAACTCTACTCTTATGGGCCAGGTCACCAAAAATCTAACACATCAACTCTACCTTATGGCTTCTTGATAGCAAACTGACTCTCAGATTAAAGGTTTCCGATAAAAGGGACACAAACAAGTTTAAACTTAAACAATTCCAATACATGAATTAAATGTTGTTTCAGATACTGCACTTGCCCCAAGTTCCATGGTCAATTTTTGTAGTTTTACAATCACATTTTCCTATTGTTTTAAAATGTTTCTCCCCAGTTTTGTTATGCAGAAGATACACAAACAGAAGCAGGGCAAACTGGCTGAATATTGAGAGGAAAGGACTGTCATATGCACAAACAAACAAACAAAATTTTAACCTCCAAATTACAGAAATGTAGATGTTACTTGTAAAAATATTAAATAAAACAAATGTCATGTATAAGTAGGCTTTAAGTTGGTGTTGTAGTTGTTCCACTGACTAATCAAATACCAAGTATAAATCAAGATAGACACAGTCTGTCTAGTCACATTTTAAAAAGGAAAGATTTTCCTAAAGATTTACTACAATTTCTTTGCTCATAAGCGTGATGTCTGCACCAGGGACTATCATACAACGTTGATTGAGGAAACACTTCTATGATGGCTGGAATTCATTACCAAGGTTGCATAGTTCATCCTTGCAAGCAGCATAGTGATAGCTGCATGAGCACTGATACAAGCTAATTCATATATTCATTCAATGCACCTTGGAAGAAGCCACTTGCCTGCTCTCTCTCTTTCTTAATTGTCAAAAGAGAGGATATTAAAATGGTGGCTTCCCAGAAAGCAATAGGGCTACCTCAGCCATTTGTTTTAAGGGCAGGTTTCCTTATTATCTGTTTTGTGGAACTTAGATCTGGTTCTGATTCTGAGATATGCTGATCAACTACAACTCCCATCTGTGGAAATATTTTTAAAAGGCTACTGATGTTATATTTAAAATCACCGCTACTATATTGTTTTTCTCATCACAAACCCCCATGCTGCCCCATCAATATTTCATTATTTGCTTTGGACTTTATCCTACAAAATGCTGAACACTTTGGTCCTGATGTAGCAAAGCACATAAGTACGTGTTTAACTTTAAGCATGAGAGTCAGATGCCAACAGGACTACTCACATCCTTAAAGTATGATCTTAAGTGCATGGCTAGATCAGGGCCAGAGTGCCACCAATCCAGTCATAGAAGTTCATCTATGCAGACAACATCTGCTGCGGGCTACAGGCTCTGACCTTCTCTGTGCTGGAAAAGATCCTGAGTAACGATGCTGCAAAGCTGGCCAACTACTGCAAGACATGGCGCGCCTTCAGTCTAGCATCAGCAAGACAGTCTCTAACATATTCCACCTCCACATGCCAACATTAAGAGGGAATTGAACATCATAACGAAAGGCCAGATGCTGAAGCATATCTAGTTTACTTAGGTGTGACCCTTGACTGAACACTGACATACAAAAGCCACCTGAGCAAGAAAGCAGTGAAGGTCAAGACACACAACAACCTTCTCAGCAAACTGGCAGGTTCTTCATAGGGAGTAGATGCTCCAACCCTAAGGACCTCAGCCCTTGCCATCTCGTACTCAATAGCAGAGTACTGTGCACCAGTATGGAGACGGTTGGCACGCACCAAACTTGTTGATGTGAAACTCCTCTCAACCATGTGCATCATCACAGGAAGTCTCTGACTGACTCATCTCCCATGGCTTCCAGTTCTGAGCCACATTGCTCCCCCTCACATCAGGAGGGAGATTGCAGCTGGTAAGCTGCTTGATAAGGTACGTGCCAACCCAAGCTTGCCTTTGTTCAACAACCTTTTTAACCCACCAGCTATACATCTTTCCTCACGGCACCCACTGTGTTTGACGCTGCCATGCCAGAACGTGATAGTGGAGTCCCTGTGGCGGGAAGACTGGTGCTTAATATCAACCACCAATCAGTTCCTCGTCACAGACCCTACTGCTCACCTGCCTGGCTTCGACCTGCCACATCACCAATGGGCCCTTCTTAACTGATTCGGGACTGGGCAAGGCCTCTGGTGCAGCCAACTAGCACCGTTGGGGTCTTCGAGACAACCGAAGCTGCAGCTGTGTGGCAGATCAAACAATGATACACATTGTAGAGGACTGTCCACTAACCAAATTCAGTGGTGGGCTCCAAAAGCACCACTTGGCCACTAAGAACGCTATTGCTTGGCTCGGCGAATATGCAAACACTAAATAAATAAATAAATAGCAAAACTGAGCCTTTGAAGAGTGAACCAAATAGCTTTTTTTTTTTTTTGGCCTAAAATCTCTGAACTTTTAGCAAGCACATAACTATTTGGCTTAAGCCCACTGAAGAACAAGTCATTTTTTTTCCCATTTACTAACCCTATGCTTTAAACTCTAAACTAAATTATGCCATTTACTATGTACTCACATCCTGAAATTACTATCAATATTGTGGGAGCAAATGACAGTGAAAGCCTATACATATCAGTTCAACAGTGCCTTAATGGGTTTATTGGAGGCAACATACCCATGTTTTGTTGAAATTTCAATAGCAGCGTTGCTTTTGTCAATTGCATCTGTTGCGTGTCATCTGTGTTGTCGACAGGTGGCTTTATATCAACTGCACGAAATTGAGAGACAAGTTTAGCAAAACCAACTATTCTTTCAAAGTTTATAAAAACACACCTATATTTTGCAATCACAATAATTCAAAAAGGACATTAAGTTTATAATTCCTGATCTGCTCTACCAGTGGACTATATTTACCATTTTGTATTATCATCAGTAGTAATGAAGTATCTGTACTGGAACTTGAGCTGTTCAACCTATTCATGATCTGGAAAAAGTGGTGAACAGTGAAGTGGCAAAGTTTGCAGACAATACAAAATTATCCAAGATAGTTAACTCCAAAGCAGACTGCAAGGAATTACAAAGGGATCTAACAAAACTGGGTGACTGGGCAACAAAATGGTAGATGAAATTTAACCTAGATTTGTGCAAAGTAATGCACATAGAAAAAACACAGAAATATACAATGATGGGTGCTAAAATAGCTGTTATCACCCATGAAAGAGATCTTGGAGTCACTGTGGATAGTTATCTGAAAACTTCTGCTTGAAGTGCAGCAGTGGTCAAAGAGACATACTATTGTATGTCAAGAATTATTATGAAAGGAATAGAAAATATCACGCCACTATATAAATGCATGGTGCTCCTGCACCTTGAATACTGGTTCCAATTCTGGTCACCCAATCTCAAGAAGGATACACAGGAAATGGAAAAGGTCCAGAGAAGGGCAACAAAGATGATCAAAAGTACAGAATGGCTTCTATAGGAGGAGAGTCTAAAAGATTAGGGCTGTTCATCTTAGAAAAGAGACAACTGGGGGAATATGGGGGAGATAGAAGTCTTTAAAATCATGAATAGTGTGTGTGGGGGGGAAAATTATTTACCCTGTCACACACACAAAAACCAGGAATCACCCAATGAAATAGGCACCAGGTTTAATACAAACAAGAGGAAGTACTTTTTCACATAACGCACAACCAACCTGTGGCACTCATTGCTATGATGTTGTGATGGCCAAAACTATAACTGGGTTCAAAAATGGAGGATAGGTCCATCAATGGCTATTAGTCAAGATCATTAAGCACTCAACCCCATGCTCAAGGCAATCCTATACCTCTGATGACCAGGAGCGGGGAGTGAAAAAACAGGTATGGATAACGCCATAATTGCCGTTCTGTACACTCCCCCTGAAGCTCTGGTACAGGCCACTGTTGGAGACAGGATACTGGGGAAAATGGACCAGGTCTAGTATGGCAGCTCTTATGTTCTTATTAGTAATAATAGTAGCAGCAGCATAGCACCAACAGAATGCTAAGTGCTTTAAAAACCAGTTAAAAAGACAAAAAGGTAAAACTGTGAAAAAGCACTTAAGTAACTTACATTCCTAAGGCCCATTTTCAACAGTCACTTTGACATTTAAAGCCGAAGCCATTTTTCACAATTTTTCCCAGAACCTCCACTCCAAGAAGTTTAGAAGCTCAGGGCTAGAAGCTAAGATTTAAGCACATAACATTACTCACTTAAGTGGTTCCATTTAAGTCAATGGAACAACTGGGAAAACTGACATAAGTAGTTACTCAGGTACATAATCGTCCATAGGATTGGGTCCTAAACTGGGGCTTTACAAGAAGAAACTAAATTATCTTTTCTTAGAATGAAAAACAAACCTTCAGTTTTGTTTGTTTTACTGCACTTCGTGTCCTTGTGCTTTTGGCAGTAGCTGAAATGCAAGGCTGCATAGAGTACTTTTTTTAAAAATCATGACTAGAAATAGTTATAAAGAAGACCATAGAAACCACCATTTAGATGTGAAAATATTTAATCTATTATTGTTACAAGTAATACCTACGATTACATAATAAAGAGATTGGATGGAGGGGGGGGGGGAGAATATCTTTTTTTGGTTTATTTTGTGCGTTTGACAGAACCTCATGTGTAGTTAGTTTCACCCATTCCCAACTGGATGTGTAGAAAAACTTATCACTGTGTAGAAAAACTCCAAAATATAAGAGAAAAATTTTAAATTGGGAAATCTGATTGTAAAACTTCCATTAAAGATGGGAATGGGAGGTGGTGCTCAGGGGCAAATGTAATGACTGAAAGTACTTTTCACTTATTTTTTAAATACTGGGTGGGTTTCAAGTTGACAATGCCTCCCGATGCACTGCCCTCCTGTAAACACATTGAGACTATATATATATATATTTAACAAGTAATATTAGTTAGACACACACATTGAACAAAGCATCCATTAACCAATGCAAAAATATGGCACATAGGGTTCCCAAACACTGAAGTCCTTAAATTTTTCCATATAACAAGTACAGTCCAGACAGTGGATATAAACATTTCTGTACACCTCTTTGTCTGTGTACTTGAATTCTGGCCAATTTTTGAGACCGGGAGAATAAAATTTAGAATCCAGCCCTGTGTCTATACTAAAAGTACCAATGGTTTGGTGGACACTCGTCCAGTTATAATTAGATTGAGCTCATTAACTGATTTCATACATAGAGGAAAACACATTGGCCACTATTGACTTAGACTGGAAATAAACCACTGATCTAAAGTTGAAGAGCTCTGTATCCCAGCCATTTAATGGTACTTTCAGAATATGTGAATTTTCCCCTTCAAATATAAAACAGTTTTATGATTTACTTTAAGCATTCACATAAAAATTCACCCAGACTGCTTCAGGTGTGCAATAAATAAGTGACTACATGGGGTGACTCTATTAATACTAATCTGCCAATGGTGCAAGCAGGAGCTTCTATTGGCATTTTCTGTAAAAGTGAAGTTCCACTGGATTTAATCTGGGAAAAGTTATGCCTAAGTGTCGTTCCCCCCGCCCCCCGCAAGTATGTTTCAATGTGTTCTTGACCAGAATCCCTAAAGGCTGGCTTTATTCTATTTAGAAAAAGATTTCCTACCCAGCAACTAATAATAATCATTTTAAAAACCACTTCTATTAAGGAGGAGCTTTGAGCACCAAGTGGTTTCACATTTCTAAGTAATATACTCTAACTTAGTAACTTCATCTTTTAATGAAAGAAGAAGAACAAAAAAAGAATTTACAGCCAATTATCAGCAAATGTAAGGAAATGGAGACTGGAATCTAAAAATCATAATACAACCTGTTAGTTGCTGGGTAAATATCTGAAATTTATTGACCATTAAAGTGGGTATAGCATTCAAGTTAGTAGCATGAGGAAGATGAAAATGTATTGTTGAGTTGCAGCAACAAAATAATGCCAGTAGGATTCTAGCCTGCATCAAAATAATATATTATGAACATGACAAGGGAAATTATACAGGGAAATCTGTCTTAAGCAACCACTCAAGGGACCAAAGTCAATACTCACTGTAGGTAGCAATTCAACACAGGTAGAGAAGAATTGGACTTTGTATGTTGGGAGATACTCTGGGGTTGTCTTGTAAGACATGCTTTGCCTAAAGGAGTGTTTTTTCATACAGGTTTCACTGCACCATCGTATCATAGCAGGATATGGAGACACCACTTGCAGTATTATGTTATGCTGCAGTATTATATCTTGACTGTTATAAGTTACTTTTTGGATTAAGTCCATACATTTTGCAGAAGTAGAATCTAGATAAGGGAAGTTTTACTTTATCTAAATATAAACAAAACTCCTCATAAGTGAGGCTGCCAGACCCATTCATTAATCTAGAGGAATCACTGTTGAGCAATACAAGGCAGTGCCCTCTGTCTCACGCACTCATTACAGAAATTGCCACACTTCCAGAAGTACTTTCACCATTATATCATCAGCTATTGGAGTAAGTTTAAACTGGATCTGGGTTGATCAGATGGGTGGCCGGTGTATCATCTGAGATGACTGATGTATGGCTAGCTTATGAAATTCTAACGCCATATAACTTACACACAAATTATGTCATTTAAAAATCAACCAAGCTGCCTCCCTTTGTGAAAGCACGTTTCTACATGTTTTTACTCCAGAAACCAATAGCCTTATACTGGACGTATTTCAGCATAGCAACTAATGAATACAATTGCTTAGCAACTTATTTAATGGGATGCAGAGGTTTCAAGTGCTAATCAAGAATAAAACTTGGGTAATATGTTCATTTACTACAACTACAGTTACCAGAAGATTTGAGTATCAAAAATACCATGTTTTTCCACAGAAAAAAATACATATGCTCATTGGTTTACAGTGTGTGTGTGTAGATCTGCAGTTCAAATATTACAGTGCAAAAAATAATTTGATATTTAAGAACCTATTAGAAAGAAAAGGTAGAAACATTGTGATCTTCTAAATATATATTTTAATAATGGTTTCAATTTCATAATAAAGTTCAGAATTTTGCATTCAGAAAGAACAACCTTTTTCAGTCAGCATTTAAAAAAATCTTCATAACTCTGGTCAGGCTAATGTTGCTGGGGAAGGGGAAAAAACCCATCAGGTTTATATGGCTCTGTGATAGCATTCCTACAAGCACAGTTATCACTTTGGGAGCTGTTACTCTTGAGAAGGACATTAATGGACGTGGTTCACAGGATGGATTAGAAAATAAATAAATAAATAAATAAATGAAATAAATAAATATCTGTTCTTCGTAGTAACCCAAAGAAGATTAAAGCCTAGCACACACAATGCCCAAGTCTAAAGCACAATTGATAGAATGCTGTGTACAATTACCTAGTGCAGACGCTTTCTAATGCCAATACTCTCTGTCCTTTAAGATCTAGCAAAGGCAAACTTCCTTACAAAGAACAAGTGAACGATAAGAGATTACAGCTACTAAAATTGTATTTGTGTTAACCTACTCAACGTATTTAATCCGTTAGTGCCAGGAGCTAGGATTTAGTGAAGCCAATTGCTAATGCAAAGCTTTCAGTTGTTCATGTCAAAGCATTGAAGTACCTTGGAACTACAATCTGAGAGTTGCTTATACTTTTCAGATACGACTGGTTACTTCTTACTATTTTCCGTTTTAAAATGTTAAAGACTGACCCACTGCAGTGGGTCATTAGCAGGAGCCAAATGAAAAGATATAGTAAAAACGCATTTGTGACCAGCAGAACTATGTAATTCTGAACAGAAATATGGAACTCATCACAATAAATGAGCACAAGAAATCTCATTCCAACCTACACAGTCAACTCTACAGCAACGTTTCACATTTTCCTCTTCAAAAATATGCAGGTTTGAAGCAATGAAAGTGATACTAGCTATGATAAAACCAGAAAAGTATTAAAATGTTTTTGACTTAAGACATTACAAAACTATAGAATAAAACTCCTCTAACCATATTGGGGGGAAGAGGATGGGGGGAACACAGAGAGAGAGAGAGAGAGAGAGAGAGAGAATGAGCATGCCTCAGATATTAAGATATATTATGGGCTGTATTCTCCAACCACAACATTTGACTGTCTCACCATGGAAAGGGCTATTTTTTCCTTATGAGTTAGCCAGCCAGCAACTGCGGTCAGGTGATATAGGACTGAAACTCTATATAGCTAACTATACCACAAAATACTTCTAATTTAAAAATAGAAAAGTATGAAAAAACAACAACTCATAACTGGAATACAAAAGTTATATATATATGAGTGTTAATTATGATGAAAAAAGATTTATTTAGCATGCAATGAAATTCCATGTTAATTACCTTAGAGAGCACTCCCCCCACCCCAAAAAAGTCTTGCACAATACATTTGACACAGACAAATTCAAACTCAGAATAATGAGATAAAAATCCCAAACAAAACTCCCAAGAAAAATGCTGGAAATACATTTTTACATTTACTGTGAAAACATTTGTTTTGATGAAAACATTGTTCTAGTTAAAATATTGAGCTACTGAGCAAGTTCTTGACTAAAATATAAGAGGTCAGAAAGTTCATATGTGGTGCAGTTTTTTGTCTCTTAGGCTTTAAGAAAATTATTTATAAATGCCTCATGAAATAAGGTCACCAATAACTCAGACACACTGAAATCATGGAGTTTTAAATTAAATTAGATTACTTTCTTGATGGAAGCCATGTATATTTGTACATTGCTACAATAAAAGATTTAAGATTATTTTTGCATTTTTGTGGATTGTGACTAATACCAACATTTTTGCCATCTTACCTCGAACAAAGCTCTAGATAGCTGAAGTGCTGATATATGACACAATCCATGAGAAAGCAATAACATATCCAGTAACTTATTATATATAAAGATATGACAGCCTTAAGCATCTTATTCTGTAATTTAAGTAAGTATATTTAAAAGTGTAATTACACTAGTATACACAAGAGCTACAAGATATGAGGTTTGCATCAAAGCTTAAATCTGGCTTTCAGCGTAATGTAATGAACCTGAATAAAGTCTGTTTGTGCTGTTGGTTAATTTATCCATAAACCCTGTTGTAGTCTAATTTGGTTCTTTACTCAGATGCTATATTTACCTGTGTTTATTTCCTCGGCTATCTGTATAGCTTCCCCGTGCACAACTTGATCCAACATCTCAAAAAAACGCTCTTGGATTTCGCCAGCCGTTTCATCTCCAAATTTATAATCACACAGCATCACATTTGATCCAGCAATAGAGACAAACACTCTGTGAGGCAAGACATGATATTCTCTCTCAGAATCTAGAAAGAAAGGAAAAGGAAATACTATACAAGAACTTGTATAGCTATGGTAAAGACTTTTCAATAATCAGCACACATTATACAAACTGTTGTAAAAAGGACTGTCCAAGGCATCATGTAAAAGTCTGATTTCAAACATTTCCAGCCTAATTGTTACTGTTTTATGTAAGTTCTAGCCACTTATATTTGTAAATGGAAATTATATTCCTACTAACTAAAACTTTTCATATATTTTTCATATAACCTCTCTTCAGTGGTCCTTAGAAATAGGCAAAGGACCTTAAAAATGATTATGAGTTGAGAATGTTGACCAGGCCCTTTAGAAATGATACAAAGAGCACTCTCATGAAGGTTGGAGATAAAGGAGTTGATGCATGTGCCAAACAGTACACAATTTCAGCATCATAAAAGATAGCAAACAATTAGTTATTGTTTTATGTAGTTAACAGCCATGGAGTACAAGTGCCACCTAAAGAGAGAATGGAAAACTGCATGCAAATGATAAAATCTACTACTGCCACATTCCCCATTTTGGATAATGTTAGCTAAAATAATACGTACAATGAGGTTATTTCTCAGTACACATAGCACCATAAACATAACTTAATGTCATCCTAAAGTAGATGATGAAGACTATTTGGCAGCATTCCATTTTCCTTTTAGCTAGTCAAACAGTTACTATTAAAAAAAAAACAAAAAACAAAAAACCCACACACACACCACAAAAACAAAAAAACCCACAAAACACCATAAGACATTTTCCTCCTCTCCAACTTAGCAGATCTTAGGTAGGAGAAATTAACATTTCACACAGTTGATGACATAGCATTTTAAAACATTCCTTTAAAAGTATTATACAGTATGTAGGATAATGAATGGAGTTTGAAGGAAAATCTAAGCATGAACCAACTGAGATGGTATTGATATACTAATTTGGTCTCAATGTTTGTAATTATATTAAGATAGCAAAGTTTACTATTATGGAGAATAAATGTATGTAGTGAAAATAATTCTGGCCTTGGAATTAATACAAACCCAGATAGCCTTGTAATTCATTCAATACGCTGAGCTGACATGCAAAATATATACCTTTTTATTTAAATGTAAAGTGAATTTTGTATATTATATATATAGGAAACCTCAGAGGTGAAATACTGGAGACTTTAACACCACATGGGCTACATTTGTAAATCTGGATAGGAGCATAACAATTCCCATACTGGATCAGACCGGAGGTCAATCTAGTCTAGTATCCGGTCTCTAACAGTGGTCAACATAAGATGCTTTAAAGCAGACGTGGGCAAACTACGGCCCATGGGCCACATCCGACCCCATAGCTCCCGGCTGGCTCTGGCCGGGTGTCGCGGCTGCAAACTCCTGCTGCTGCTAAGGGGGAGGGGAGCAGGAGGTCCTGGGGGCCAGTCAGGGAGGAGGGGGTGGTTGGATGGGGTGGAGGTTCTGGGGGGGTCGGTCAGGGAATGGGAAACAAGGAGGGTTGGGAGTGGAAGTCCCGGGGGGCCTGTCAGGGGGTGGGGATGTGGATGGGGTCGGGAAGGCAGTCAGGGGACAGGGAGCAGGGGGGTTGGATAAGGGGGTGGGATCCTGGGGGGCAGTTAGGGGCAGGGGGTCCCAGGAGGGAGTGGTCAGGGGATGAGGAGCAGAGGGCAGTTGGATAGGGGGTGGGAGTCCCAGGGGGGCTTTCAGGGGGTGGGGCAGTCAAGGGACAGGGGGGTTGGATAGGGGGCAGGGGTCTCGGGAGGGGGTGGTGAGGGGACAAGGAGCAGGGAGGGTTGCAGGTTCTGAGGGGGACAGTCAGGGGGCGGGAAGTGGGAGGAGGCGGATATGGGGCAGGGGCCAGGCTGTTTGGGGAGGCACAGCCTTCCCTACCCAGCCCTCCATACAGTTGCGCAACCCCGATGTGGCCCGCGGGCCAAAGAATTTGCCCACCCCTCCTTTAGAGTAAGGTGTAAGACTCCTGCTGCAGGCAAATGTGGTATGGTCTGTCCCCCATATTAGGTTTCCTCCAGATCCCTAATAGTTAGGATATGGATAATTCCTTTTTGAATCTTGCCAAGTTCAGTATATTGTTTATTGGGTGGGGACATCACAAAAATAATTGGCTGATTCTGACTAAGTATCAAAGCCCTTCTGTATTAGAGATCTTGATGCTGCGTCCAAGACTATGGGGTAAACCTTACTGTACTCAGGGTCAGCTATGCCAAGAAGGGAATAAAGTGGAAGTTTAATTTACACTCAGAGCAAGAAGGCATTTAATAAACATTATAGGGGGGAAACGCAGGCCAAAAGAACAATGCCTGAAGTTGAATGAAATCCTTCTGAACTGGACAGCTGAAAAAAGAGGCAAAGGAGTGACAAGTAGAATTTGTGTTGCCGGATACACTTTTGTTTCCCTCTAACTACACCCAGATTTCAGTACTGCAGATTGAATCCTGATGACGATCAGTAAGGAACTCCAGGAAATCAAAAGGCAAATTACATTGGAAAAAGATAATTTGCTTTCTTCTCTAGGCTCTTACTTTTTTTGTCGGGTGCCTCATTTATAAGCAGATCTTCAAACAATATTGCACAACGATCAGAGAGTGTGTTTATTATATCCCTCTTTAAAGCCTGCAAGGACAAAACAAAACAAAAAACACAATAAACACCACGCCAGCCAGTTTGCAAGGTATTTGTGATTATCAAGAAACAAACTGTGTGTATAAAAAAAAAAGTCTCAGTTTGTCCTATGCATTTAGGCCAACTTAACTGTGATATATATTAACAAAATCAAAATATAAAAAACAGGAATAAAAAAAAAGCCTGACCAAAAAAAAAAAAAAAAAATTTCCCTTTCAGTTTTCCTACCATAACAACAAATCATCAAGAAGTGTGGCTTTGTTATTATCTGTTTTAAATAAGCTTAAATATTGAAATTAAAGCATATGACCAAACTCAGGAGACTGGGTTATATTCTTGGCTCTACCACAGATTTCCTGTGTTTTCTTAGCCAAGTTACAGGCTCTCTTTAAAACTTGCCTATTCCCACAATGATTTTGAGAAACTTAGCCCTGGTCTACACTACAGGGTTAGGTCGATTTTATAATGAATGCGTCTACACAAGCAACCCCGTACATTGACATAAAGGGCTCTTAAAATCGACTTCTGTACTCCTCTGCAGCGAGGGGAGTAGCGCTAAAATCGACCTTGCTGGGTCGAATCCGTGGTAGTGCGGAAACAAATGGACATTATTGTCCTCTGAGAGCGATCCCAGAGTGCTCCAATGTGACCGCTCTGGACAGCACTTTCAACTCCGATGCACTAGCCAGGTACACAGGAAAAGTCCCAGGAACTTTTGAATTTCATTTCCTGTTTGGTCAGTGTGGCGACCTCAGCAGCACAGGTGACCATGCAGTCCCCACAGAATCACAAACGAGCTCCAGCATGGAGCGAACAGGAGACACCGGATCTGATTGCTGTATGGGGAGAAGAATCTGTGCAGGCAGAACTCTGATCAAAAAGAAGAAATGCTAATACATATGCCAAAATCGCACAGGGCATGATGGACAGAGGCTACAACAGGGACACACAGCAGTGCTGTGTGAAAGTCAAGGAGCTCAGGCAAGCCTACCAAAAAACAAAGGAGGCAAACGGTCACTCTGGGTCAGAGCCCCATACATGCCGCTTCTATGATCAGTTGCACTGCATTCTGGGGGGGACCCTACCACTACCCCACCGTCCATGGACACCTGCAAGGGGGGAGTCTCACGCAACACGGAGGAGGATTTTGTGGATGAGGAAGAGGAGGAGGAGGAGAATATGCAGCAGGCAAGCGGTGAATCCATTCTCCCCGGCAGCCAGGACCTTTTCATCACCCTGGAGCCAAATCCCCCAAGGCAGGATCCCTGACCCTGAAGGCGAAGAAGACCCCTCTGGTGAGTGCACATTTGTAACTACACTACAGGGTTTAAAAGCAACAGTGTTTAATGTTTGATTTGCCCTGAAGACTTGGGATGCATTTGCGGCCAGTACAGCTACTGGAAAAGTCTGTTAACGTGTCTGGGATGGAGCGGGAATCCTCCAGGGACGTCTCCATGAAGCTCTCCTGGAGGTACTCTGAAAACCTTTGCAGAAGGTTTCTGGGGAGGGCTGCCTTATTTCATCCTCCACAGTAGGACACTTTACCACACCAGGCCAGTAGCAAGTAGCCTGGAATAATTGCAGCACAAAGCATGGCAGCGAATGGTCCTGGGTTTTGGTCGCATTCAAGCAACGTTCAGTCTGCATCTTTCTGTGTTAGCCTTAGGAAAGTGATATCATTCATGGTCACCTGGTTGAAATAGGGGAATTTTTGTAAGGGAACAGTAAAAGGACCCCGTTCATGCTGGGCTGTTTGCGCTTGGCTAAAAGGGATCATCCCTGAGAATAGCCACACGGTGGGGGGAGGGATGAAGGGATCATCCCAGAGAACAGCCACGCAGCGGGGGGAGGGATGAAGGGATCATTCCAAATAGCCACGCAGAGGGGTGGGAAGAAGCGTGTGCTGCACATGCACCCGAAAACCACAGCCCCTCCTTTTAAATGGCAAACCCAACCGGCATTGCTTGCTATGGGAAAGGAGGGCGCTGCAGTTTGAAACCATTCCCACATGTTATGAAGGCGGAAGAAGTCAACCCAGCGTACCCTTTGGCTTACCATGGCTGCCTGGAAACCGAATTCTGTTGCCCAGCCATGTGTGATGTGTCACCATACCGGCAGGCACTCAATATAAAAGGCAAAATGCGACCTTCTACCTAAAGCACATGTGCTGTCTGCTGTGAATTGCTTGATTCACTGTGAAAGAGTCTCCCTTCTGTTCTCAGAAATGTTCTCATCTTAAATTTTACTCTCCCTTTTTATCTCCCCTGCAGGTGCAAATGTTTCTATGCTCCCCGTATCATCTCCATCCCTGAGTTTATCGCAGATTAGAAGGCGAAAAAAACGCACTTGCGAGGACATGTTTTCCGAGCTCATGCAGTCCTCCCGCATTGATAGGATACAGCTGAATGCATGGAGGCATTCAGTGGCAGAGTCCAGGAAATCATTAAGTGAGCGCGATGAGCAGAGGCAGGATGCAATTCTGAGGCTAATGTGGGAGCAAACGGACATGCTCAGGCATCTATCTGGTGGAGCTGCAGGAAAGCCAACAAGAGCACAGACCGCCGCTGCATCCACTGTACCACAGCCTGCCCTCCTCCACAAGTTCGATATCCTCCTCACCCAGATGCCTAAGAACACGGGGAGGGAGGCTCCGGGCACCCAGCCACTGCACCCCAGAGGATGGCCCAAGCAACAGAAGGCTGTCATTCAAACAGTTTTGATTTGTAGTGTGGCTACAATAAGCAATGTGGCCTTGTCCTTCCCTCCTCCTCCATTCCACCCTGGATACCTTATCAGTTATCTCCCTTTTTTTTTTTTTAAATTAATAAAGAAAGAATGCATGGTTTCAAAACAATAGTGACTTTATATCCTTTGCCAGCTGTGATCGAAGGGGGGAGGGTGGTTGGCTTACAGGGACTTAATCAACAAAGGGGGCGGGTTTGCATCAAGGAGAAACACACACAACTGTCACACCATAGCCTGGTCAGTCATGAAACTGGTTTTCAAAGCCTCTCTGATGCGCAGTGCAGCAACTTGTGCTCTTCTAATCACCCTGGTGTCTGGCTGTTCAAAGTTGGCAGCCAGGTGATTTGCCTCAACCTCCCACTCTGTCATAAACATCTCCCCTTTACTCTTACAGATATTATGGAGCACACAGCAAGTAGCAATAACAATGGGAATATTAGTTGCGCTGAGGTCTAACCTAGTCAGAAAACAGTGCCAGCGAACTTTTAAACGTCCAAAGGCACATTCTATCACCATTCTGAACTTGCTCAGCCTGTAGTTGAACTGCTCCTTACTACTGTCCAGGGTGCCTGTGTATGGCTTCATAAGCCATGGGAGCAAGGGGTAGGCTGGGTCCCCAAGGATAACTATTGGCATTTCAACATCCCCAGTGGTAATTTTCTGGTCTGGGAAGAAAGTCCCTTCTTGCAGCTTTTCGAGCAGCCCGGAGTTCCTAAAGATGCGAGCGTCATGCACCTTTCCCGACCATCCCACGTGGATGTGGATGAAACGTCCCTTGTGATCCACCAGTGCTTGCAGCACCATTGAGAAGAACCCCTTGTGGTTTACGTACTGTTTGGCAAGGTGGTCCGGTGCCAAGATAGGGATATGCGTTCCATCTATCGCTCCACCACAGTTAGGGAACCCCACTGCAGCAAAGCCATCCACTATGACCTGCACATTTCCCAGAGTCACTACCCTTGATAGCAGAACGTCAGTGATTGCATTGGCTACTTGAATCACAGCAGCCCCCACAGTAGATTTGCCCACTCCAAATTGATTCCCGACTGACCGGTAGCAGTTAGGCATTGCAAGCTTCCACAGTGCTATCGCCACTTGCTTCTCAACAGTCATGGCAGCTCTCATCTTGGTATTCCTGCGCTTCAGGGTGGGGGAAAGCAACTCAGAGTTCCAGGAAAGTGGTCTTACGCATGCGCAAGTTTCCCAGCCACTGGGAATCATCCCATACCTGCAACACTATGTGGTCCCACCAGTCTGTGCTTGTTTGCCGGGCCCAGAATCGGCATTGCACTGTATCAACCAGCCCCACTTCTGCCATGATGTCCCATTTGCCACAGCCGTGCTTTCAGGAACGCCTGTTACCATGTCCTCATCACAATCGTCCTTGTGCTGCCATCTCTTAGCCAGGTTCTGCACATACTGCAGTATAATGAGCAAAGTGTTTACAATGCTTGCAACAGCAGCGGTGAGCTGAGCGGGCTCCATGCTTACCGTGCAATGGCGTCTGCACGGGTAACCCAGGAAAAAAGGCACGAAATGATTGTCTGCAGTTGCTTTCACAGAGGGAGGGAGGAAGGAGAGTGACGACATGTACCCAAAACCACCCGCGACAATGTTTTTGCCTCATCAGGCATTGGGAGCTTACCCATAATTCCAACGGGCAGCAGATACTGCGGGAACTATGGGATAGCTTCCCACAGTGCACCGCTCCGTGAGTCAATGCTAGCCACGGTAGTGAGGATGCATTCCGCCGACTTATTGCCCTTAGTGGGGACATACACAATCGACTGTATAAAATCAATTCCTAAAAATTGACTTCTATAAAATCAACCTAATTTCGTAGTGTAGACATAGCCTTAATTCATTAATGTCTGAAGTGTTTGGCACTCCACACAGAAAGTGGTGATAGAATAATTAGGCTATCGAGACAAATACTGCTCTCACATACGTTCCTCCTGCATTAAAACCACTCACTCCATCGAAACCAATTAGAGTACAATATAGCCCGTTACTATAACTGGTATGTTAAATAAAACTGTTTTATGTGGTTAGGGGGTTTCCTTTTGTTAAACGAAATAGAAGTTATCTGTTTATGGTGCTTTTTAGTTATTTGGAATGCTAGTTTGATTTTAAAAAGGTGTTTCTAGTCAAAAGTTAGTAATGTTAAATTTATAAAACCTGCTTCATCAAGTCACAATATACTCTGTGTTGTGTTATTGATTTTAATGTATTTTAATTATGAACATTAATGGGGACAAGATTATGGCAAAACTCTTACACACTTTGTGGGTTCAGTGTCCAATGGGGCTTGAATTTTATCCTTTGTCTTTAGTTTGGCTATGTCTACACTAGCAACTTTTGTCGGTATAACGTATGTCACTCAGGGGTATGAAAAAACACCCCTCTGAGCGACATAAGTTACACCAACAGAAGCGCCAGTGTGGACAGCACTATGGCAGCGGGAGACACTCTCCCACCGACATAGCTACTGCCCCTCGTTGGGGGAGGTTTAATTATGTCAATGGGACAGCTTTCTCCCATCGGCATATAGCAACTACGAACAGAAGTAGGAGATTATATGTATGATTTCAAAACATGTGGTCTGTTACCACGCAGAAGGTTGCAACATGGAAAAATACTGACTGTCCATGTTCAGTACTTTTTTGGACAATATTAGAAGTGCAGCAGGACAACAGAAAAGATCACTTTGATTTAGAAGTACTACTCCTTCAAGTACATTTTAAGAGAGTAGCTGGAATATCTAATCTGCCTACATTTTTCCTCTAGCAAGTACAAAAATACGTAACATACAAAAGTCATTCCTTTAATTTTAAGAAAACTTTACACCAAGCATTACCACCACTAGACTAAGAGTAAGTTAGGATTTCTTAGGAGGACAAAAAAAAAAAACCAAAAAACCACTAGAAGAGACCTAAAATGAACTGCTTATAAATAAAATTAAACTTTTGAAAAATTTATTTTCTTGCACAATAAAAAGGACTTCCAAAAATTCCAAACTATCACTCTAGCTGTCTGGAGTTCAGAATTTTTGGAGCCCAGTTTGGACCTCTATTATCCTACCAAAGGCAAAGGTAGAACAATAATTTTATGGTTCCAGTAAAATATTTGGGAAAAGCAATGAAGGAGAGTGATCACTACATTCAATACCTGAATAGCATCTTTAACTTTCGGCTTGTTATTATGGATGTAAGCTCTGCATTTCACAGCACCTTTAAGATTTATGAAACCACTGCAGACTTGCACTGTTGCTGTAGATCTATGGCCTGAACTCTGGGACTGAAAGATAAACGCATTTCAATTATAATGTTAGCTATGCATCTGCAATATGGTCAGTCATGAAGCCACAACATATTTCAATTAACAGCACTTAAAATGTTAAGTACTTGGTAAAATGTGTTATTTCCCCCTCACAGTTTATACCTTTTAGCAAGTAACTTAAATATGAAGATCTGTCTTAACAGTTTTGTCCTTTTCCAGTTGGTAAACTCTTTAAAATTTGCTTTTCCAGGAACTTATACTTTCTTGCAATTAATGTATTTTATGTTTACTTCTCATCAGCATGCAAATAGACATCAATGGTGATGCTAGCAAGGTTGTGAAAATAGCTCCCTCTGCTTGTTTTTGAAGTTTGATCACTACTGTTTCAACTAAAAAAATCATGTAAGCATTTTGCACATACTAGGGCTATAGAATTAATTTTATTTTCAAACAGCTTGTTGCTAATATTAATACAGTATCTTTCCAGTAGCCTCCCTTGTACACTATTTTTTGAAGCCTTTTTTTAAGTGACGGAAAGTTTGTCTACTTACTGTATTAGTAAGTATAATCTAGAATATCTACGTTGTGGTGTTTGAGTATTTTTCTTAAAGCAGAGTCATCCACCAGTCCTAGAATTAATTAGGAAGAGATATTTTATCTGGTCATATCAAAGCTAATATCCATGGAGTCCTTAACCTATTTTAGGGCAAACTATAATGTTTCTGTGGCAAGAGGGAGACCATTATGGAAATCCCTTCAGTCCGATGCTCTCCCTTGACTACCCCAAAGACGTTCACAGAACAATTAGTGATTCCAGTATAAACAATATTGTTGGAGACAGATAGCTTGACTGTAAACATCTGCCCTTTGCATAGAGCATAAATGGGCATGTCTCACAAGAAAAATAACTTGCATTATTACTATTTTGATTAAATTTAAAGATGTCATGAATTGTGCGTAACCTTCAACAGGCCACTTGGGCCCTGATCACAAAAGCCATTTGAAATAAGGCGCTTTTTGGCATTTTTTTTTTTTTTTTTGGAAGGGAGAGTAAATAAACCACTGAATCAACTTAACTAGGAATGTAATGGATTCTTCATCACCTGAAGTCTTTAAAATCAGACTGGATGACTGTCTTCTAAAACAGTGGTTCTCAACCAGAGGTATGTGTACCCCTGAGGGTACTCAGAGGTCTTCTGGGAGTACATCAACTCATCTAGATATTTGCCTAGTTTTACAACAGGCTACATAAAAAGCACTAGCAAAGTCAGTATAAACTAAAATTTCATATAATGACTTGTTTATACTGCTCTATACAATACACTGATATGTAAATATAAAATAAATCAATAGGAACGTAAATATTGTAATTATATGGCAAAAAGAAAGTAAGCAATTTGTCAGTAATAGTGCGCTGCAACACTTTTCCATTTTTGGATCTGATTTTGTAAGCAAGTAGTTTTTAAGTGAGGTGAAACTTGGGTGTACACAAGACAAATCAGACTCCTGAAAGGGGTACAATAGACCGAAAAGGTTGAGAGCCAGTGTTCTAAAAGATATATGCTCTAGCTCAACCAGAAGGTATGGGCTTGAATCAGAAACCACTTGATAAAAATGATATGGTCTGTGTTATATAGAAGGTCAGACTAGATGAGCACAACGGTCCCTTCTGGCCTTAAGATCTATAAACCTTTTTCATGCATGTTATCCCATACAGCCACACAAAGCCCCACTGAAGTAAATGGAGCCTTGTAGGTGCAGGATTCTGTCCAAGATGAGCAGTTTACAGAACTTGACATCTCTAGGCCTCAGTTTCCCTCCCCTCCAACTATACTACATGATCCTCAGATGTTAGGTGTTCTATCAGGACCTGATACTCCCACTGAAGTCAATAACTTGGATAAGTCCCTAAGTACCAGAATTATGTTAATTTGAACAAGAATTACTCCCTATAGTGGGGAGTAGTTATTTAAAAAAAAAAAAAAAAAAAAAAAAACCACATCATTTTCAATTTTTATTTCATGTCCCTTTTTTAGATTAGGTATCTGAGAATACAGCTTTATGAAATACTGCACTTAACTTTACCGGCATTTTCCACACACAATGCTTACCAATTGCGTCAGAACCTTCACATCAAAGGGTTGAATACTGTGTTGAATATTTCCTCTTGAAGACTTTTTCTGAGATAAAAGAAAGGAAAAAATGGTATATGAAATATATAGAGCATTTATCTGTGTCTACCATATCTAGGTGCTCCACTGGCCCGTAGCACTGTAGTACCAGTTTGTAGATTTTAGAAAGAAAATTGAGATATCGAAACAACCTTAAGGACACAGTTAACTAAATGTTAGGAATCTTTGGGAAAAAATTATTAGTAGTGGTTTTAGTACCAAAACAACTGCACAGTTTTAGATGATCTCATGAGAATCTTCTTGAGTGGCTCGCTCTTTAGCTCCAAAAACTGCAACAGCAATAAAGCTGTTGAAGTCACCCATAAAAGTCAATCTAATCTTCAGCATATGGGCAGAGTTCTTATACACCAGTCCTCCCTAACTTATCCTTCTTTTCACTACTGCTAGAATCATCTCTTTTTTGCTTCAAGGACGGGTGGGGAATAGGCAGCAGGTTTAAAACAAACAAAAGCAAGTATCTCTTCACACAATAAACAGTCAACCCGTGGAACTCTTTGCCAGAGGATGTTGTGAAGGCCAAGACAATAACAGGGTTCAAAAAAGAACTAGATAAGTTGATGGAGGATAGGTCCATCAATGGCTATTAGCCAGGATGGGCAGGGATGGTGTCCCTAGCCTCTGTTTGCCAGAAGCCAGGAATGGGCGACAGGGGATGGATCACATGATGATTACTTGTTCTGTTCATTCCCTCTGAAGCACCTGGCATTGGCCACTGTTGGAAGAGAGGATACTGGGCTAGAAGGACCTTTCGTCTGACCCACTATGGCCATTTTTATATAAGAGAAAAGCAATCCTTTATATTAAGTACATGACACATGCCAGTTAGAAGTAAAATATTCTACAGAAGACCTTTCAGCCACTAATATTACCATACTAGACATTTTGAGTGACACCTGGATATTAATTCCATGCTATACAGCACACACCTGCCCTTCCAATAGCTCTGTGTCATCGTCTTTAGCTTGCCCGTTGATCAGAAAAACACCTTCCTCTATCTGTTTCGCCCACCGGGTTAATCCGTTCTTTAAAAACCAAAAACACAGAAAGATTGTAAGTATATATTTTGGGAAGAAAGCATCTCTAAAAATAAACTACACTTTTGTTTGAATATTGCCACAAACCCCACCAACACTCTAAAACTACTGTAATGCATATTTAAATCATTAGCCAAAGAAAGACATTAACAAATCCTAACCAATTTCAGACCTCTCATCCATCTGTATCATACTGATGGACAACATACTACTCACAAGACACCTCTTAATCTACATTTCCTAAAGTAAATAGAAATATTAATTTTAATCTTTATTGGCCTAAAAATAAAGCTAATTTGCATAACCACCTATACTGAGGACATGACACCTGGATTTTATTTTTCCATAAGATAGGGGTGGGGCCTATTAATAGTGAATGGGCAATGAGAGCACCCCATTTTCAAATCCTATCAAAACCAGATCCTGCATCGAATGAAGAGAAAAAGGAAAGCTGCTATCTTCTTTACACACTCCTAATAATGTTTCTGAATAATTTAAATTAAACAGACACAGGAAAATAAAAATCTAAAAAGATTTATCTCCTTATGCTTTTTTATGCTTAATGCAGCAAGTGAGTTGTGCATAAGGAACTTATTACCTTATAGATTTAACTGCCAGTAACAAATCATTAATTCTATTCCCCTATCTACTCCATATTTTCATAACACATTATTCATTTCTAAGCAGTACAATAGTATGTACAATATTAAAGGAGTAAGAAATACTGTATTGTTATTGTTTAGTTACCCTTGTATTTTTCTCTAGTTCATAGTTGACTGATGTAGCAGAAAGTGGGATGTGGATATTAACATTAATTGTGCATTCCAAAGACAGCCAGAAGGCAGACAGGCCACTTTGGTACTTCCAGTCTGCTGGCTTAGCTGAACTCTGGGAGGAAAAGCAGGGTTTTATTTTTAAAATGTAACAAATATATGGCTTAATACAATGTTACAAATCTGAAATAAAATCCATTTCTTCTGAACTTTATAAGTCTTGAATACAATAGTCAATCTTACCTTTGGATCTTGCATATCATAGGTTCGACAAAGTATCCTTTACTAATTAAGGAAAAAATTCAATGAAATATGCTTAAAAGGAACAAATAAAAAACAAATATTTTAAATTAACTTGCAATTTATCATCTACGTTTACTATCTTCTTATTTTTCACAGCCAAGTTTTTAATATTGTAGAGAATGTTCTCACATTGATGGGAATAAAAAAAAAAAAGTTTCACTTGTAAACTACAAGTACTACAGGAATGATGTAACTGCCTTTCAAATATGTATCAACACTGATAGCTATTCACATGGATAGCTACCAATGGTGGTATGTATTTTCACCTGCAAGCCCTGATGTCTCCCATACTTCTCTACAATTGTGCTTTCTCTCCTGGCCTCCTCCAGAGCAACACTTCGCCCCCTATAAAATCGGTTGAGCCTCAGTTCTTCCCCATGATCCTCACCTGCACAGCTATTTCACTGACCCACAACATTCTTCCAACCATGCCTGTTACTTCCCCACCATAATAAAAAATAGTTTAAAGACTGATTATTACAATTGCAAGTTACAGTGCCACATAGAAAGACATCAGATGTTATTTTGGGTGCCTTTGATATTTAAAACAAGAACATCACTTTTACAAACTGAACGTGGGAGTGAAGTAGCGGGGCATGGTGAGAAGTAGCAATATGCATAGAGAGTGCAAGGGAAAATCTGAAGATGTTGCTGGGAAGAGGCTCTCCTTTCTGATGAGCCATAAGTGGTTCATTAAAAGAGATCTCTACTCCCTTGTGCTTCCCCATCCAGGCCCCTCCCTGCTGTCCACCCTCTTTTTCCTCAACTTCCTTCCACCAATAGAAACCCCTATATCTTTATCCTCATTCTGAACAACCAGTGTATAGCCTTCAACTCCGACAATAAATGTAACACAGAATGGAAATCTGTGTGCACTAGTGTAACTTCTACATGAAAATTACTACCAAATAGAGATTACCCTTTCATATAAAACGTAACAGAAAAACATCCTGCATTTACTATTTGCAATCGGACACCATACCCACCTATTTACATGCATCATACAAAAATTAATATAATGTAATTTACCGAGGCCACACCAACCCTAAAATCAATCAAAACGCATGACCATATAACCGGTAAACATGCTCAAAAGTTATGGCTGCACATCAGTTGAGCAGAGTGAGGGTGGAAATGTGGGCTGTGAATGGTGGAAGGACAGGAGCAGGGGAACTGATAAGTTGAGTGCAGAGCAGATGCCTTGCTTTTTATGATTTGTGTTAATGGAATATCCATCCTAGCAACCCTTGACACAAAGATAATAAAGTTTTTGGGTGGCAATAAGTATACAATTAGACCAGACAGATTAGTTAGCTCCTGCCCTATATTATATTTCAATACACTGTATCAAAAGACTACATTATATTTTTGCTATAGAAGGATACTTCTTTGTAGCAGAACAAACGTGAAGAGCCACTCTGTCAGAGACCTCCTCCTCAGTAAAATTCCAGAGCCTCTTTTTAATTATAGACTTTTCTACTGAAAAAACTAGCTGAAGAAGAAAAAAATGTTATAGGATTTTTCTTCATAGCACAAACAAAAATTTAAGCAAGTAGTTATAATTACTGAAAACAGCCCTGTATTTCAGTTTTAAAGCAAAATAGCATGTCATTTTCGCTATAGGTCAGTTTCTCAGCTGTGTAACACTTTGTAATAGAACCAAAACTTGAATATTTGCAAATGCACAGGCTGCAAATATACAAACTGAAACTGATGGAAAGATTTGTGCAAACCCTTGGGAACTGCCACTCCGATGCCAGCATCCATTTTCCAAGGACTTTATGGCTTTTAATTATAATCTAACATGAAATCGGACAGTCTGAAGGTTGGCTAGTCTCAGATCATCCCATTTTCAGATGGTACAGGAACTAAAAATATGTGGTTTTAGTTAGGTTGGTGCAGCCGTTAAATGTCTGAAACATCACATATGAAAGACTCAAGAGCTGGAGATGATGTTAATGAAAATATCTAATATGCAGACTTTACATTGAACAGCAGCTTTCTGTACATGCGACAATGTAGGGATATAAAAGAAGGTACTAACAGTGATTCCCCCAAGTGACAGTGACCCCCTCATAGTTTGTCCCCCACACTTTAAAATCCAACAGTTTCACCAAGTACAAAAATCTCTTGGGTCTTCTGTTAAAACTTGTAAGCTACTGTCTGTAGAAACCATTGATTGTATCTATCCTATGAAAGATACTTTATTACTATGTAAAACTTACAAACAAGTTAATTGACTTTGTTCTTGAAGTAATTGATACAATGTAAACAAACACTATAAGCTGTTAAGTGACTTTCACTTCATTCAAGGGCTCCTAGGACAGACCCCCACCCTCTGTGATTAAAGGGCCGGGAGTCTCAAATGAATTAGCACACACCCTGAAAGTGGTGGAGACAGTAAATTAAAATATGGTTAAGATATGTAATGTATGTTGATGAATGCTTGATATACATGGATGGTTAGGGAGGTGCCAGCCTAGAAAGGGAGTATCCATCGGCCGAAGAATGTGTCAAGTAGGACCACCAGACAACCCCCTGAGGGTAAACTGGGATCCACCCCATCACCTGGAAGGATGAGAAACACAAACTTTGGACAGTGTGGAGCCACCAGGAATGTGCCACTTTGGACAGGAATGTGCCATCTGCTGATTGAGTCAGCAACAGCAGGATGAAACAGTTCCCATAGACTAACATAGGAATTAATTCCTTTAAGAATGGACTCTAAAGACTGATGACTGAGTCTCTGGTTCTGCTGCCAACCTCCAGGAGCTTCAGGTGCACCTGACACAGACTCGGCTCCATCCTCATGACCAAGATACCTGGCCAGTAACTTGGCATGAGCAACTTCTAGGCTGGTAACTATAACACCTATACAGAACTTGAATGAATGATTGTGTGAATGAATCTCTCTCTCTCCCTCTCTCTCTCTCTATATATGTGTGTGTGTGTGTGTGTGTGTGTGTGTGTGTGTGTGTATGTATATAAGAAATAAGTAGTCAAACAACGTTGTTTACTTTTATCTTTTGCTTTATCAGTATATTTACAATAAATGTGGCATCTTTGCCTTATCCCTCTTAATCAGATCCTGATGGTTTTTATTCTATTGGTATAACAGTACAAAGCAGCACAACCACTATCATACAAATCTTCAAAACAAAACAATCTACTGACTTAATTCATTTTGCACGTTTTAAAAAACTCTTCATAGACTTGCTCATGCCCCGCTCATAGACCTGGTTTCTTTCTTCACCTTCCTCTTCTCTCAGTTTCTCAATACAATCTGACTGCCTTCCCTGCAGCTTCTGATATTTGCAACAGCTTTCTCATATCTCTCCATCTCACCAACTGTCTCTTCAGACCACACCTGAAAACTTAAAGTCTCATTTGCCTCCACATTTCCTGTTCCCACTTCAACCATTTAACTCTGTCAGACAATTTGGAAGACAGTTGGTATGAAAAAGACAATACATCAAATAAAGTTATATAACAATAATAGAGATGAAAGAATCACTTAAATTTTGTCCTTTGCCACATCTTGGGTAAGTTATCTACAGAAGTATCTGTCCCAATATTGAGTAACAATCATAATGCTTCCACTGATATATAGGTTACTGGTGTGACTGGTAGCACTGCCAAATATAAAAGCTGCCCCACACTTCCCATTATAAGAGCTTCTTTTCAGTTGCGCTTTGTCAAACTTTAATCACTGGGACTGAAATTTTATATGCCAGGTGTCTGCCTCAGGCCGATTTTTTTTTTTTTTTTTTTGGAAAATTTTAGTCAAAATGGTTACAGATGTTTCCGAGAATAATGTTGTAGAAATATATATTGTTTTGCCCATGTTGAAAAATTCAGGCAACCTTTTACTGCAAACCATTTATCTGGGATATTTTTGATTTCTGTTTCAGTGAACCCAATTAATAAATACAGCTAAGACCGCAGTGATAGAAAATTACTCTGCTGCACAAATTAAAAAAAAATCCAGCTCCTTCCTGTGGACTTTATCTATGCACTTACCTTGCGCAAAGCATTTTGGATGTCTTTTGCCAGCTCTGGAGCTGCAACAATAAATACACCAAGAACTAGCAGTCCTCCTGGGAGCATTCTAGACAACTTACAAAATAAACAGAAAAGCAAATTATTAATTACTATTATGATTATAAAGTTCTATAAACTATATCACTTGGTTTACTATGGATTTTTTTTAAGGTATCAGAACCCAGATGTAGAATAAACTGCAAGACTAAAATTAGCAAGGCTATTTCTCACCTTCCCATTCTCTTAATTTAAAAATACTCTATTCTTCCATTTTATCATCATATATTTCATGCAAGTTTTGTGCCCAAAAACTACAGTGCCACCTGCTTTGCAGAAAAGATGTAAATATACTACTTTTAATATTGGTTGTAGTTGTGCAAGTTTTGATCAATTAACAAAATCAGTGCCATCAAAGGACTCTTGAGAAGACTCTTTTATGCATAAAATTAGGATTTGAAGTTAAGAAGAATTTCAAACTTATTTCTTACACTAACTATACATCTTCTGAAAGTGGTTTACCTGACTAGCATGTCCTGTTACCCATTCTTCATCAATGTCAGCCAATTTTGGATGATAATTTTTGTTGCTTTCATTTTGCTCTTCTCTTGGAGGTGTTCGAATAGCGAGAATCACATAATCTCTTTGTGGGGAACACTTTAGGGGGAAAAAAAACAAAACACAAAAGACTATGAGGTTGGTATTGATTTTTAAAGATAATCACAGTGTAATATAAAGCACCTTTCGAGTTGCTCTGTAGTTCATCTCTATAATACTCCAGGTTTTGGGAAGGGGTGGGGGGGAAAGAGGGTTTAAAATCTCACATGGAAATATTTTTTCTCCCTTGTCTTTAACTCTTAAATATACTCAAAGAGGTAAAATTTAGCCCCAAACAACATTATTTAGGAAACGTAAGTCTAATAGAGGTTTGGCTTTTTTTTGTTTTTTTAAATTCTTGTTGAAATTGTTTTGGTTTTGGGGGTTCCCCCCTCCCCAAACAAAAACACGTCCTTGCAGAGCTTGCAACCCAAGCACTGCAGTACTGTGCTAGTGCAGGAGAACCTGTAAGTGAAATTTACTAAATTGAAAATAGACTATTAAGTTTCACTTTCATTAACATTTTCCAAACCTAGAGAAGTAAAAAAAAAAAAAAAAAAAAAAAAAAAAAAAAAAAAAAAGTCAACAGTGTAAGTAGTGGTACGTGTTTTTTTTTTTTTAAACTCTTCATTTTTAATAATCTAAAGAGTAACTGGTGATAGTAAAAAGTTGTAGAAATAAGTAATATTACTTGAGAAGCAACATGTCATGTAATTAAAGACTATTATGCTCGGTGCATCATTTTAAAAGTCTCAAAGTTCTAGTTTCCTCATCTTTCAACATCTCACCTATTTACCTGCAAGGCTATTCAAAACACAGTTCACAAAAAAATTTGTATAATGGGAAGTGAATACCCTTGCTCACCCAGATACTCTCCTTATGTTCTATGGGTACGTCTACACTACAATCATGGGGTGTGACTGCAACTCGTGTGGACATACCCGAGCTTTAATCTAGCTAGTTCAGGTACCAGAGCAGTGAAGCCATAGCAGTATAGGTAATTACTAGAGTGGCTATCCTGCGCTAAAGCCTGTGCTGTCACAGTTTCACTGCTCTGGTACCTGAGCTAGCTAGATTAAAGCTCGGGTATGTCCACACGAGTTGCAATCAAAGCCCATGATACCGATATAGACATATCCAAAAGCTACTATACCATTTCCCCACAAACTTCAAGAGACAAAATAAGGTTATCTTTGGCTAGAAATCAAGCATTGTAAATTTCAGAGAGATCGGAGCAAGTGAGAACAGAGGCGTAGGCCTGGTCTACACTATGAGGTTAGGTCGAATTTAGCCGCGTTAGGTCGATTTTATAAGCAATGCGGCTACACAACCAACCCCGTTCCGCCGACCTAAAGGGCTCTCAAAATCAACTGTTGTACTCCTTCCCGACGAGGGGAGTAGTGCTAAAAATCGACCTTCCTGGGTCAAATTTGGGGTAGTGCAGACGCAGCGCTGTGCAATTCGATGGTATTGGCCTACAGGAGCAATCCCAGAGTGCTCCAATGTGACCGCTCCGGACAGCATTTTCAATTCCAATGCACTAGCCAGGTACACAGGAAAAGCCCTGGGAAATTTTGAATTTCATTTCCTGTTTGGTCAGCGTGGCGAGCTCAGCAGCACAGGTGACCATGCAGTCCCAGAATCACAAACGAGCTCCAGCATGGAGCGAACAGGAGACACTGGATCTGATTGCTGTATGGGGAGAAGAATCTGTGCAGGCAGAACTCCGAACCAGCAGAAGAAATGCTGATAGATATGCCAAAATCACACAGGGCATAGTGGAGAGAGGCTACACCAGCAGTGCCGTGTGAAAGTTAAGGAGCTCAGGCAAGCCTACCACAAGACAAAGGAGTCAAACGGTCGCTCCGGGTCACAGCCCCATACATGCCGCTTCTATGATCAGCTGCATGCCATTCTAGGGGGGGACCCTACCAGTACCCCACCACTGTCCGTGGACACCTGCACACACAACACGGAGGAGGATTTTGTGGATGAGGAGGAGAAGGAGAATGCCCAGCAGGCAAGTGGAGAATTCGTTCTCCCCAGCAGCCAGGACCGTTTCATCACTCTGGAGCCAATAACCTCCCAGGGCGAATCGTTCCCAGACCCTGAAGGCGGAGAAGGCACCTCTGGTGAGTGCACATTTGTAACTACACTCCAGGGGTTAAAAGCAAGTGTGTTTAATGTTTGATTTGCCCTGAAGAATTGGGATACATTCGCGGCCAGTTCAGCTACTGGAAAAGTCTGTTAACGTGTCTGGGGATGGAGCGGGAATCCGCCGGGGACATCTCCATGAAGCTCTCCTGGAGGTACTCTGAAAGCCTTTGCAGAAGGTTTCTGGGGAGGGCTGCCTTATTTTGTCCTCCACGGTAGAACACTTTACCGCACCAAGAGATCATCCGGGAGAATAGCCACGCAGTGGGGGCAGAGGTGGCTTACCATGGCTCCCTGGAAATAGAATTCTGTTGCCCAGCCATGTGTGATGTGTCACCATACCGGCAGGCACTCAATATAAAAGGCAAAATGCGACCTTCTACCTAAAACACATGTGCTGTTTGATGTGAATTGCTTGATTCACTGTGAAAGAGTCTCCCCTTTGTTCTCACAAATGTATCTTCTTAAATTTTACTCTCCCTTTTTATACCCCCTGCAAGTGCAAATGTTTCTATGCTCCCCGCATCAACTCCGTCCCTGAGATTATCGCAGATTACAAGGCGAAAAAAAACACACTCGCGATGACATGTTTTTAAGAGCTCATGCAGTCCTCCCGCACTGATAGGGCACAGCCTAATGCATGGAAGCATTCGGTGGCAGAGGCCAGGAAAGCACTCAGTGAGCGTGATCAGAACACGCAAGAGGAGATGCTGAGGCTAATGGGGAAGCAAACGGACATGATCAGGTGTCTGGTGTAGCTGCAGGAAAGGCAACCAGAGCACAGACCCCCGCTGCATCCATTGTATAACTGCCTGCCCTCCTCGCCAAGTTCCATATCCTCCTCATCCAGACGCTCAAGAACTGGGGCGGGGGGGGGTGAAGGGGTGAAGGCTCCGGGCACCCAGCCACTCAGCTCCAAAGGATGGCCCAAGCAACAGAAGGCTGTTATTCAAACAGCTTTGATTTGTAGCGTGGCTACAATAAGCAATGTGGCCTTGTCCTTCCCTCCCCCGCCCCCCCACCCCATCCAGGCTACCTTGTCAGTGATCTCCCTCCTCTTTTTTTTAAAAAAAATAAAGAATGAATTGATTCAAAACAATAGGGATTTTATTTCCTTTTCCAGCTGTGGTCGAAGCGGGGAGGGGGACTGGCTTACAGGGAAGTACATTCAACGAAGGGGGCGGTTTTGTATCAAGGAGAAACACTCACAACTGTCACACCATAGTCTGGTCAGTCATGAAACTGTTTTTCAAAGCCTCTCTGATGCGCAGCGCGCCTAGCTGTGCTCTTCTAATCACCCTGGTGTCTGGCTGTTCAAAATTGGCCGCCAGGCGATTTGCCTCAACCTTCCACCCCACCATAAACGTCTCCCCTTTACTCTTACAGATATTATGGAGCACACAGCAAGCAGCAATAACAATGGGAATATTAGTTGCGCTGAGGTCTAACCTAGTCAAAAAACAGTGCCAGCGAACTTTTAAACGTCCAAAGGCACATTCTACCACCATTCTGAACTTGCTCAGCCTGTAGTTGAACTGCTCCTTACTACTGTCCTGGGTGCCTGTGTATGGCTTCATAAGCCATGGGAGCAAGGGGTAGGCTGCGTCCCCAAGGATAACTATTGACATTTCAACATCCCCAGTGGTAATTTTCTGGTCTGGGAAGAAAGTCCCTTCTTGCAGCTTTTCGAACAGCCCGGAGTTCCTAAAGATGCGAGTGTCATGCACCTTTCCCGACCATCCCACGTGGATGTCGGTGAAAAGTCCCTTGTGATCCACCAGTGCTTACAGCACCATTGAGAAGTATCCCTTGTTGTTTATGTACTGTTTGGCAAGGTGGTCCGGTGCCAAGATAGATGGAATGCATATATACCTATCCCCCCACCACAGTTAGGGAACCCCATTGCAGCAAAGCCATCCACTATGACCTGCACATTTCCCAGAGTCACTACCCTTGTTAGCAGGAGGTTACTGATTGCCTTGGCTACTTGGATCACAGCAGCCCCCACGGTAGATTTGCCCACTCCAAATTGATTCCCGACTGATCGGTAGCAGTCAGGCGTTGCAAGCTTCTACAGGGCTATCGCCACTCGCTTCTCAACTGTCAGGGCAGCTCTCATCTTGGTATTCCTGCGCTTCAGGGCAGGGGAAAGCAACTCACACAGTTCCATGGAAGTGGCCTTACGCATGCAAAAGTTTTGCAGTCACTGGGAATCATCCCATACCGGCAACACTATGCAGTCCCACCAGTCTGTGCTTGTTTGCCAGGTCCAGAATCAGTATTCCACTGTATCAACCTGCCCCACTGCTGCCATGATATCCCAACTGCCACATCTCGTGCTTTCAGAAACATCTGTGTCCATGTCCTCCTCACAATCGTCCTTGTGCTAGTGGCTCCTAGCCATGGTCTGCACATACTGCAGGATAATGCGCGAGGTGTTTACAATGCTCACAACAGCACAGCTGAGCTGAGCGGGCTCCATGCTTGCCGTGCTATGGTGTGTGCACAGGTAACCCAGGGGAAAAAAGCACGAAACGATTGTTTGCCGTTGCTTTCAAAGAGGGAGAAAGGAAGGGAGGGGAGACTGACAACATGTACCCAAAACCACCCGCAACAATGTTTTTGCCCCATCAGGCACTGGGAGCTTAACCTAGAATGCCAATGGGCAGCGGGACTGTGGGATAGCTACCCACAGTGCACCACTCCGTGAATCGATGCTAGCAACGGTATTGAGGATGCACTCCGCCAACCTACTGCACTTAGTGGGGACATACACGATCGACTGTATAAAATCGCTTTCTAAAGATCGACTTCTATAAAAACCGACCTAATTTCGCCATGTAGACATACCCTCAAATTATACCTGATTATTCAAATTTAACAATGGCAGTTGCTGCCTCTCCCAGCATAATACACACAATGACCTGCAAATTTAATGCAGTCTATCCTTCACATAAGTCTGTAATGAAGATTTATATATAATATCTTCAATAGTTATCAGCTTTATTGCTGAATCCTCTGCAGTATATGAACTTCAAGTGGAACAGAAATGGACACAGATGGAACACTTTTCCTAAAGGTGAGCAGACATGCTGGGTCCTTAAAAGCACTAGCATAAAGATTGTAAAGCATTAGGACATTAGAACAACCAGAAGCTAGCAAAGAACACAACTTTGAGGACTGCAATTTTTTTCCCAAGAGGATTCTGATTTATTCCATGAAGACAATGAACACCACCACTGCCCCGAGATCCAGAAAGAAGAAATAATCTACAGCATATAACTCAAATAGCAGCAGCTAATAATTGTATTGCAATGGCAGCTAGAGCAGTGTTTTTCAGCCTACGGGTCGTGACCCAGTACTGGGTTGTGGAACGTAAGGCACTGGGTCGCTGTGGCTCTGCTCAGCACCACCGACCTGGCCGTTAAAAGTCCCATTGGCGGTGCTGCCTGGATAAGGCAGGCTAGTCCCTACCTGTTCTGACACCACGCTGCGCCCCGGAAGCAGCCGATAGCAGGTCCGGCTCCTACGCGCGGAGGCCACGGGGCTCTGTGCGCTGTCCCCGTCCTGAGCACAGTGCCTCCGCCTAGGAGCCAGACCTGCTGTTGGCCGCTTCTGGGGTGCAATGCAGTCTGCAGTGCCAAGACAGGCAGGAAGCCTGCCTTAGCACCCCCGCTGCACCACTGACCAGGAGCCGCCCGAGGTAAGCTCATGCCCCAACCCCCTGCCCCAGCCCTGAGCCCCCCCAAACCCAGAGCTCCTTCCTGCACCCGAAACCCCTCATCCCTGGCCCCAGCCCAGAGCCCTGACCTCTGCCTGCACCCCAACCCTCAACCCCCCCAAACCTGGAGCCCCCTCCTATACCAAACCCCTCATCCCCAGGCGAGAGCCTGCCCCCCAGCCCAGAGCCCTGACTCCCTCCCGTGCCCCAACCCTCTGCACAAGCCTCCTACACCCTGAACCCCTCATTCCCGGCCCTACCCCGCAGCCCTCACCCCCGACCCCAACCCTCTGCCCCAGTCCTGAGCCCCTCCCACAGACCAAACCCCTCATCCCAGTTCTGTTGGGTCATGGGCATCAACAGTTTTCTTCAACTGGGTCACCAGAAAAAAAGTTTGAAAACCACTGAGCTAGAGGATACAGTCAGAGACAAACGCCCCATTGTGCTAGACCAGGGGTCGGCAACCTTTCAGAAGTGGTGTGCCGAGTCTTCATTTATTCACTTTAATTTAAGGATTCATGTGCCAGTAATACATTTTAACGTTTTTTAGAAGGTCTCTCTCTATAAGTCTATATATTATATAACTAAAACTATTGTTGTATGTAAAGTAAACAAGGTTTTCAAAATATTTAAGAAGCTTAATTTAAAATTAAATTAAAATGCTGATCTTACGCCGCCGGCCCGCTCAGCCCGCTGCCGGCCTAGGGTTCCATCCACCTAGGCCGGTAGCGGGCTGAGCAGGGCCTGTGGCCGGGACCCCGGCTGGCAAGGGGCCGGCAGCCAGAATCCCAGACCGGCAGCAGGCTGAACAGGACCAGCGGCCGGGACCCCAGACCGGCAATGGACTGAGCGTCTCAGCCCGCTGCCGCTCAGCCCGCTGCCGTTCTGGGGTTCCGTCTGCCGGCTCCTGCCAGCCAGGGTCCTGGCTGCTGGCCCCGCTCAGCCCGCTGCCAGTCTGGGGTCCCGGCCCTGCCCACATAGAGTGGGTACCTACCTTCTCCCTGGTTTTAGCCCATTCTCTTTCTCTGCACTGAGCACAGGGCTGGGGGTTGGGCTGTACGGTCTGGCCAGGAGCTAGAATGAAGGAGGGGGCTCAGAGTTGGGGCAGGAGGTTTGGGTGTTGAGCGCTTACCTGGGCACTTCCCGTTTGGTGTGAGGGGTGCATCTTTTTGGAGGTGCATAAATGTAGTTCCATGCCATTTACTGTATCTTTCAGACAAGATTTCAAAAACCAAGTATCTAAGTGCTCAGCGGGTACCATGGCAACTTTTATAAGAGTATGGTTTTGTCCTTTGTCAAAATATCCCCTTCCTGTCTCATACAAGTTCAACATTACGGTTACGAGTTTGATCCTACACCATTAAAGTCAATGAGAGCAGGATCAAGTCTGTAGCTTGATATTGATGTGGGATGCAAAGTTGCTCAAGTCACTAACACAGGATCTTTACCCTAGCAGCTACATAAAGAAGTGTTACCTTTGAATATAAATTATAAACCCTATATGAACATAATGTTAATCTGAGTTACACATCCACAACACAGAAGTCTATTCACTTTCATATAGATTTAAACACTTACCTGCCCTATCAACAGGCCAGTGACACAAGCCTTTGGCTTGGTGCTGAAGTCTGAAAGATACTGTCCAAGAGCTTCTTCCACAAAATAGCTTCTGCCCATTACTGCGAGCTTAGTCTAATTTCCATCTATAAAAAGAGAATATATTATTCTACCTTTTCAGGTACTTAATCCGAGGACATAAGGCATAGCATGGTAAGTGTACAGAAATAAAAAGTGTCGGAAAAACACCCTGAATGTGCTAGTATGACAGTGACCATTAACAAAGTTACAATGAGCTTTATACCTGTAAAAGCTTCACTGAAGTTCTAAAAGTCTCTCTATGGCAGAGGAAAGTCTACTCTTTTATTCTTAACATACTTGTATGAAAAAGAGGTATTTTAAACATGGTAACATATGTGAAATTGACATATCAAATCAAATATCAAATTAAAATCTAGGAAAAAATAATTTACAAGTGATTTATGAAACAACCTTCAACTCTTAATGTTTAAGGAGTAGTTCACTTCCATTTGTTCACTCACACATTCACAATTCTCACATAGTCAGACCACTATCGCTAACCTATAATCAAAATAGCAGCAAACACCTGCTGCCTAGAAAAATTAAAGAACAGTCCTGCTCAGTTACATTCTACAATATTTGTATTTTGCAAACATTCTTATTTCCCTTCTTCAGACATGACTTGTTTTTTAAGTCACTGTGAAGTCTGTCAAAAGGCCCGTTTTACACTTTCCATTTGCAGATTCTTTTTTAAAAAAAATCCCTGAACGCAAAATGTAGGATCTGGACATATGGGAAGAAATCAGGGGATTCTCTCGCTCTCTCTTTCCCCCTCCCGCCATGCTAACGTACCTCAATCAATTTGACTCGCTCCTTCCAAAGGCACTAACTAAAAAGTTCAGCTCTACAGGACAGAGCTGAGGGGCGACGTTCCAGCCCCCAAATACTTTGAGTACAAGGTGCAAGCAAATACGGCGTTACAACGGGATCCACCTCTGACTGAGCCACAGCGAGAGCCGCCAGCTAGTGCCACAGAGGGGAGACATTTCCCACCATTCCCTCCCGCAATTCGGCCTCCCTCAGCTAGGTCAGACACCCACCGCCCTTCAGACACATTTTCCTCTCCCCCAGCCAGGTCAGATTCCGATCTCCAAGGGCCGGGCACCCTCGGCGGGGCCGGCCGGCCGGCCAGCCTCCCCCCTCCTCCTCTACCCACGGCCACAGCAGCCTCACCTGCTTACTGGGCAGTGGCACCAGCTTCTCTCACAGCTCCCTCCACGCCCAGCACAGATGTGTCCCACATGTCCACATCACCAGGCTGCGCCTCTCCTCCCGTCTCAACGAGTGAACTCTCTCTCAAAGCGTAGGTTGATGACGTAGCCGAATCACTGGGCCCAACAGAAGACAAACCTAATCGCGGGAGGATGGGCGCCGGGTGTTACTGCCCATCAGGGTCCGCCATGTTCTGTGTGGCGGACGTAGCAGCATCTCTTCCTTGCCGATCCAGTCTCTGCGAGAAGACGAACGCTGCACTGCTAACCAACAAACACTCCTCTTTGTGAGTTCACTCGGTCTAATCAGCCAGGCTGGGACGCAGTGCCTCACTCAACATGGCGGACAGAACGCTACCTCCGGAAGCTTTCGCACAGGAGTTCGGCTTCCGGTGGAGGTTGAACACTACGTTTCCCATGGCGCCCGCTGGAGGGCGGCTAATGCGCATGCTCTGTGCGAGCCGGGAGGTGAGGGCGCCGCGCTGTTTCCCTTCCCCGCGGGGCCGGAAGGCGGCAGAGAGAGGTTGGAGAGGTTCCCTCCCAAGATGGCGGCGGTGCTGCAGCAGCTCCTGGAGCGGGCCGAGCTGGCCAAGCTGCCCAAGCCGGTGCAGGGGAAGCTGGAGCGCTTCCTGGCCGATCAGCAGAGCGAGATCGATGGGCTCCGAGCCAGGCACGAGCGCTTTAAGGTGGACAGCGGTGAGTGGCGGGGCGGGGCGGGGGAGCAGGGCATGAGGCGGGGGGAAGGGACAGTGGAGGGGCTGGGGAGGGCATGGGAGAGAGGGGTGATATTTGTACGGTGCTGTCGCTGCTGGGCTGCTCCTGCTGCAGGGTCCGGACCTGAGTCTGCTGCCAGGCGGGTGGGCCGGGGCCCCCATAGGTGTCACGGGCCGGGGCGAGGACAGGCGGTGCTTCCCGCGGCGCTGGGCGCATGATGCTGCCCCGCACCGAGGTTCACCACCACTGAGTACCGGCGGGACCGAGTCTCGACTTGTGCCTGTTCGGCAGGAGGTGGGCTACAGTGGGCATTGGCTAATCGTCATCACTGAGCCCGAGCCAAGAAGCAAAGGGACAGTGCCAGAGGCAATGCTGTGTGGAGGTCTCATGTTGCTGACATGGGCGTATAAAATATCCCCGACGGCTTATATATCTGTATACTGCAGTGGCTGAATATTATGCATTTGTTCTGTGAGGCGGATTCCTTGCATTTTTACACTCTTGTTTTCCACTTAAGTTCTGGGTCGCAGTGTTTGTATACCACAATAGGAGTCTGTTCTTAGTGTCAAGTATCAGAGGGGTAGCCGTGTTAGTCTGGATCTGTAAAAAGCAACAGAGAGTCCTGTGGCACCTTTAAGACTAACAGATGTATTGGAGCATAAGCATCCAACGAAGTGGGCATTCACCCACGAAAGCTTATGCTCCAATACATCTGTTAGTCTTAAAGGTGCCACAGGACACTCTGTTCTTAGTGTGAAGTTACGAATTATTACATTAAAACTCTTAAAAATAATGTAAAGTCAAGGGGGATGCACGTCCTACTGAGTGAGATTCTTTACCTGCTTCCCGAGTTAGCCAGATGCTTGAGGAAGAGCATCAGAGGTTTGTTTAGTCTACACTGCAAAAAAGCACAGGCTGCAGTGGGTCTGCAGGCCTATGGCACTAAAAATAGCCATGCAGATATTCCCATTTGGGGTCTGAGCCCTAGGGAGGGAGTGGGTTTCAGAACCTAAGCTCTAGTGGCAACGTATACATGGCTATTTTTAATGCCGTAGTACAAGCCTGAGTCTGTAGACCCAGGCTCTGAGACTCACTGCTGTGTTTTGTTTTTGTAGTTGTTTTTTGCAGTCTAGACATACTTTGAGTGGGCCCAATCTAGCAACACTTCCAATAAACTCAGTGTTTGAGGCTTGAACCTTTCCAAATAATCTGCTATTGCTTGAAGCAAGGCTTTTAAAGGATGGGTTGGAGATGATCCTTGCAACACGTTCGTTTCCTGAGGCTGTTATACTAATCCAGGGTTTTGGGCTATCCAGTGGTCCCATCTGGCATTACATCTTAGAGACAATGACATTATTGATATAATCTTATTGCCCTGGGCCCACTCAGGAAGGCAACATATCTTAGTGGCTAGAACAGAGGACTGGGACCCCGGAGACCTGGATTTAATATCTGGCTCTGTGACTGGGTAACTTTAGGCAAGATACTTCCCTTTCCTGTGACTCAGTTTCCTTGTTTGTAAAATGACATTAATGATACCGATCTTTGTAGAGCAATTAGAAATCTGACAATGAAAAGTGCTGTCTAAGAGCTAAGTATTATTAGGGTATTGAAGTGGGGGGCAAGAGCATTATTTAATAATTGAGCATAGGTGAAACAGTGGGTAGAGTCAGGAGTTCATTTCTCAGCTCGGCCATAGATTTCCTCTGTAAACTTGCCCTTAACCTCTCTATACCTCAGTTTTGCAATCTTATAATAGGGATAATCTTCCTGCCCTATAGTGGTATTTTTGAACTTAAATCATTACTGGTTGAAAATGTTTTGTGATGCTTTATTGGAAGATTATAGAAGTATTATTTATTATCATTTTCATAAACAATCTTACTCAAGTAAAACTTTTAATCTTCCAAGTGTTTATTGTGGAATTTATCAGTTTAAGTAGGCTAGTGGTTGTCTGTAAACTTCAAGATTCTCATATACATGCTGGTGGTATATCATTATATGAAACTGATGTAGTTTAGACTGAGAAAGGTTTATAGTACATGTTAAGAAAACAGCGCTTATCTAAAAGTCCGCTAATCTTTCTTGCTGTTATTCCAAGAAATAGTAGCATCACCAGAAATATTATCTCAGATATTTACAAAGCATTCTTGAACACTATAGAAAATCTGAAGTGTGACTTTTATTTCAGTTATAAAGCAATAACCTTTACATATCAGTGTTACTTCTGGTTGTGATATTTTCAAAGTCCATAGTGATGTACCCATACAAAAAGGTTCTTTACCAGAAATCATTGTTGTTAACCAAGTTTTCCAAGTTAAGGTTGTAAGGGCAAATTTACACCCAGCTTTATACTGATTTAATTATATTGGTTTAGAAATAAGCTGTGGTGGCATAAGCATTTATATACCAGTATAACTGACCACACTAGGGAATTGCAGTAATTTAGCTATATGTTGCTAAACTAATATAGTGAAATCAATCAAAAAACTGGAGTAGACTAGACTTTAGTGCAGTGGTCGATCGTGATCAACTGGTCGATCCTGGAGCCTCTGCCAGTCGATCGCGATCTCCAGGCCACTAAAAGTCCGGTGGCGCAGCGGGGCTCAGGCAGGCTGCCTGCCTGCCCTGGCCCCATGCCACTCTCGGAAGCGGCTGGCTGCTGGCACGTCTCTGCGGCCCCTGAGTGGAAGGAGGGGGAGGTGGCTCCGCGCACTACCCCAGCACCATCCCCGCAGCTCCCATTGGCCGGGAAGCAGGAGCAGCGCTTGTGGGCATGGGCAGCGCACAGAGACCCGCTCTCCCCCAACCCACCAGGGGCCGCAGAGACATGCCAGCAGCCAGCCGCTTCCAGGTGCAGTGTGGTGAGCCCCGCTGCACCGCCTGCGGGGAGCCGCCTGTGGTAAGTGCCTCCCGGCTGGAGCCTACATCCCACCAAACTCCTTCCCAGAGCCTGCACCCCTCACCCTCTCCTGCGCCCCAACATGTTGCCCCAGCCTGGAGCACCCTCCTGCACCCAAACTCCCTCCCAGAGCATGCAGCCCTTACCCCTTCCTGCCCCCCAATCCCCTGCACCAGCCCAGAGCCCCCTCCTGCACCAAACTCTCTCCCAGGGCTTGCACCCCTCACTCCTGCACCCCAACTCCCTGCCCCAGGCTCAGCCAATGCACACCCCACAGTTGAGAATGTTACACTGGTTTGTGACAATCCCTGAAAGATTTTTGATCTATAAACCACAAATGACACTAATAAAAAGTAAAACTCATTAAATGTCCAGTGGATTTTATCAGATCAGGTGCAGTGTGACCATATGACCCCTGCAACCAAACTCCCTTCCAGAGCTTGCACCCCTCACTCTTGCATCCCAACACCTTGCCCCAGGCTCGGCCCGGAGCCCCTTCCCACACTCCCAACCCCTTGGCCCCAGCCCAGAGCCTGCACATTTACCCTCTGCCCCAGCCCGGTGAAAGTGAGTGAGGGTGGGGTAGAGCAAGTAACGGAGGGAGGGGGGAATAGAGTGAGTTGGGCAGGGCCTCGGGTAGTGGTCGAGGTAGATCCTGTGTTGATCTTAAATTCAAAAAGTGATCTTGTGCGTAAGAAGGTTGGAGACCACTGCTTTAGGGCAATGCACTTGGAGAAATGTAAAACAGAACTGAACATAGTAACAAAATTATTTAAACAGTGCTTAAAAGTAGGTAGCAATATAGCACTTGGCTTAAAAAAATGTTTTTTCTTCAGGGTCTACTGAAAGAGCATTGTTTCTAGTTGCATTTTCTGCTAGATATGGTTCTCTAATAAAAGCTGATTATGAAGTAGTGTTAATATAATGTGGTGTTCTGCAGAACAACAGTATTTTGAAGTGGAAAAGCGTCTGGCTCAAAGTCAAGAGAGACTTGTAAATGAGACACAGGAATGTCAGACTCTCCGTCAGGAGCTAAACAAACTTAGTAAGTATAACTAGACGTTGATTAGCAGATTGGAAAGTTGTTTTTCTGTTTATAATAATTACATCTTTTGTACTTATTTTGAAATGCTTAATCTAAATAAGAAAAATCTGTCAACCAAACTTGTTTCACAGAAGTTAATTGATATTTTTGGTTCAAGTCCCTGCTTTCTACAGGCTTTCAGTCTGTTTTACTGTAGTAAACATCTTATTTACATTCTACTCAAGGAACTAGGGGTTAGATTCTACAAATGGATTTGTGCAATGCACACATATGCCCATAAGGGTCAGGTTGCAGGATCAGACCTGAGATGCTGATATGTCAGTGGCTTCCAGAAAGCAGATGAGTAGGGATAAAACTACTTTTGTTTTTAATCACAAGAGTACCAATTTGGTCAATGGCTTGTATATTGGATTTTTAATTTTGGGGAAATTTTTCTCTTCTCAATTTTATATTATTCTAAAGCAGGAACATGAATTTTACCAACTGGATATAACTAATGCACATGTTCTGTTAATATTAAAATGTTTCCTTAATTTTCCCTCCTTGTC